ATACATTATACGAAGTTGTCCTTTTGAACATAATGAGACTTCTTTATTGATCAACTGCCTGAATTGTTATCAGAGAGCGATAATCTGGCTAAATCGGAAAAATATTACGTTCCAAGACGCAGTGGAACGGTGAGGAAGGCATTAACATCAGTATGACAGAATAAGTTTGTAAATAATGGCAAAGGACAAGGATCCTGTATTTTAAGGGGCAGGTGATCATATACCGTGTTTCACGACTGGGAACTTCATCTAATCCTACATTCCCCAATGCTAGAACCCTGAATTCTAGCCACGGCCGACGTCGCATCGCGGGCTGCGGCGGCTGGCGCGGCGACCTAGCCATCGCCACGATTGAAATTTCCGCTTTCCGCGGTACGCAAGTCCACCCATGGTCAGCGGTGGACACGAAGTTCCCGCAGCGACAAAAATTCTCGCTGCAAAAAGGGGAAGATTCGTTTTCTGTCCTTGTGAACCACAATTCCTATTTACTCGAGGGAATGCAGACGACAGTTCACGTAGCCCGTAGACCAGCCCGCAGGTCTGATGGAAGAAAGGTCTGCATATCTTGCATCGCATGCTTAAAGAGTATTGCAGGGAATCAGTGATGTTTGAACCCTTTTGCTTCTTTACAAGGAAGCTCTCACAGTTCAGAATAATGAAATCAAAGAATTATAATGATAGCAACTCACGGGATCATTGTGCAGTTTACTGGCGACAAGTTTGTCAATCCTCCGTTTGATGGGATTCGTCACCGAGGCTGTGTTGTCGACTGCAGTAGCTGACGGAGGTGCTGTCGGCGTTATGCCGTCAGCAGCCGATTCCATGGCTTGAATTCAGAAATCAGAAGCTCCGGAGCTGCTCAGCTGGGCGAGGGCGTGGTCACCACGTCATTCCGATGGGAGCACTTTTTCGGCAGCGCGAGAACTCGTCCGCCACTCCAAGCTCCTCCACTGCGCTTTTGACGTCGATTTTACTGTCTTCTTCTTCCTTATAGCAGGTATTCTTTTTTTTAATTTCTACTGCTTCTACCGATAAGCCGGAATCGCAACGAATTGGTCCTTCATTTATTCTTAGTTTCTCAATTCTCCTTTTCGGGAACATGTTTTTTTTTGTACACACAAAAGCTTTTGCAGTAGTATAAAAGATTTTAAAGCTGTGAGAGAGTCAAAAAGTTTCTTCTGCTTTATATGGTATTTGTAATTGAAATGCAATTCTAACCGATTTGATTCTATGCTATGAACACGCTCCTATCGCAATAAATATACATTTTTTGGAAGCAGATGTTTTAACAAACCTGAGAAGGAGGCCATGAAGTGAGAGATACTAGTGCAAGATATGACCGGTTAGCAGAAGTCGTGTTAAAATTGATTGACAATGGAAAATTACGCAGAGCATGTTCATCTTGACGAAGAGGTTCATGTTTTTTTTTGAATTTCTGCTAAGTTAGTTGAACCTAAATAAATAATTATACCACAGTTACCCGGTCAGGCTTAACAAATTTACTAGATCGAAATGAAAATGTGATGACACTGATTACTACCTCCATGCAGGGTGCTCTCAACGTCAACCTCGGGTTCAAAAGAACCAACCATGCTTTTTACTCTGTTAATAGAGGCGCTTTTTACAAATGAGGGAATACTACTTTTGTTTCATTCATTATTGGCGAAGGAAAGTGCGAGGTTGATCCTATCGCTCAGCCTATTCATGCTTTTCTAGCATGGATGTTCTTGGCACGGCTCGTGCCTATATCAAAGAGATGGTGAATCTAGCTGGACCTCCAAATGAAAGTCATTCTTATGGATAAGGAAACGGTTATTTTCATATTCACCTTGCCTACAGCTTACCTCGCTCTTCATACCATACTTTCAGACTACATAGTTTCTTGTGCCTTTGCACAATCGGAAATGATGCAGAAAGAGGTGTGCTTCATTTCTTGTGTTTTTGGAGATAAATAAATGTGCGAAATAAAGATGTTCAGGTGTACCTATTCGAACGTTTGGATTCGTCAGTACCAAGAGAGCCTATCAAACACCTTAAATGTCTTGTATTTGTTCGGCCTACACCAGACAATGTACAGTTATTATCCACAGAGCTACGAAACCCAAGATACGCACAATATTATATTTGTAAGTGGTCGAATTTATTAATTAGTCGGTAGTTTGGAAGTGCATTTTATCTTTCAGATTTTTCAAACATCGTTAGCAAAACTGATCTGAAGGCATTAGCTGAGGCAGATGAGCACGAGGCTGTGAGTTTTTGTCGGCTTTTGTTCCCTTTGATCTTTCCGATGAATTTTTTCTACAATTTCCACCATATTCTCATGCCACCAGTCTCGCCATTTTGTTCCTTTTAAGGACAGTTCCACGATAAGGACGAAGATCCAAGAAGAGGAAACTTATTTTGAGGAGAAACGTGGGGCCTATTAAGGGTGCGGACCGACACGCAATCCGCATTGAAGGATATGCCCTCGTATATCTAAGGATATGACCTTCCCTGCGGTGCTGTTGGTGCGTTACGTCACCCTCTCGCTGTCCGGACGTCTAGCCGTTCAGCAGAGAGAGCGTTAGCGTTGAAGAGGGCAGCACCGATGAGAGTCGCAATGCGGAAATCAACGGGCAAGGAAGGGGTCCCATTTCTCGGGTTCTAGGCCGTTTTTTGGTTTTTTCTTCTTTCGTGCATCACTGACCATCTCTAACTTACTTCCAATGGGCTGCCTCCATCGTAAAATCTGGCTTCATTCCTCTTTCTTTCATTTTGATTCTTCATTCACTCCCACATTGATTTCCTTCACAAATCAACTCTGCATTGTTAATACTATTCAGTAGGTAGCTCGAAATGGAAAAGCCGTATTTTCAGGTCAGAGAAGTTCATGAATTCTTCGTTGATGGCATTGCTTTGAGTGCACCGTTATTCAGCGTAAACTTGAAACATATCTATGATCAGACTTTCAATGTAACGGCCTCCTCGTTCCTTCGCATCAAGCAAGCGCTTGTTGCTCTGTTGCTAAGTCAAAAGAAGAAACCCTTGATAAGGTGAGTGAGTTCAGATTATCCCTCAGAGAAAACAGTACAATATTACATGTTAAGATATCAGCGTTCATCGGAAGATTGCAAACGGCTGGCCGAAGATTTGAACCAGGTGCGATTTGGAACATGATCATTTTCACAAGAGCATCCTTCTTTTGTATAATGCTAGCGAATGTAATGCTTATAGGTTATGAGGCGAGAAGAGGGCCTTTTCGACAATGCCAAGCGCGACGCGGTCTTGTTGATCGTGGACCGTAGCGAAGATCCGGTAACCCCGTTATTGAATCAGTGGACTTATGAGGCTATGGTATGTTTCACTCTGTGCGTGCCCTAATGAAAGCGTACTTCACGGTTGGTTTACGCCATTGACCTTCAATATTGTTTAGGTCCACGAATTGATCACCATTAATAACAACAGAGTAACTGTAGATGGCCAAAGTATGGTTCTGAGCGAGTTACATGACGAGTTTTACGCGAAGGTCTCCTTTACCGCTTGCTGTGTAGATTTATGCCTGAGTATGGGCGTAGTTTATGTACAGTTTAATAGCACTGACTTAATTTCAGCAATCGTTTTTCGTACCTAATTTCTTGGACGAGATTTGGGCAGATACATCAACGTTTGCTGATGAACCGGAGTTCCAGCAAACCCATCTCAAATTCACAAGAATTTAGAATCTATAGCTGATATGAAAAATTTTGTTGAAGAATATCCGCAATTTAAAAAGATCTCAGGTTTGTCTGCAAAGCTTGTCTGCTAAATTTATCGTGTTTATGCTTTCTTTTCAAGGAACTGTTTCAAAGCATGTCACATTAGTTGGAGAGCTTAGCAAAATTGTAGCAAATCAGAATCTCCTGGAGATCTCAGAGGTGGGTCATCGTTTATGTGACCCCAGATACTATTTTATCACGTCATTCATCGCAAATCGAATGCTATTTAAGAGTCATTTGTTATTTCCCTCAGGAAACGCCCTTCTTAAGTTTGGAACGCGTTATTTTTTCAAAAATTTGAATATGCTCTTTGATCGTGTTTACAGAAGAAACACGACATATTCACGTTATCATTGTTTTTTCTACGTGGTATAGCTCTCACAGTACACGGCTATGTTTTGCAATAGCGATTCTTTTCGATTAAGGCTCTGACAATAGCAATAGTTGCAGAGTGTGGGACCATTACTCCCGTTTTGCCTGAACGTTTGTTCGAGTCTCTTAATTAATCATCCTAAAACAACCACGGATTGGTGAGACGGTTTGCTTGGAGTTAAGCGCCTTGAAAGTTATACGACTATTGCTCAGAATGCCTTCGACTTGTGCTTCTGTATGCGCTTCGATTTGAGGGGAATCCTAACAATGAATTATCCTCTCTAGTTGGTATGCTTAGAAAAGTGAGTTACTCTCGGGTATTCTTGATTACAATCTCTTTGCATATTATTTATTTGAATTTATTTTTTATTTGACATTATCAATATTTTTGATATACTGTATATTTTGCAGTATTTTCCTCTTGTTTAAGGACGAATGATGCCATGCAAAAGCAGTGCGAGCATTACTACGGTATTGGAGGAGCGCCTCGGAGAAAGAGTCCAGTTTACTCATATTCACAAGAAAGATACAGCGGTGAAGAAAGAGCGGATCTTTCTCTTCGGTGAGGGTTCAACAATGGGAATGACAAAAAGGTACGAGCCATGTGTTTGCTGTTATCAGGTCCTTTCTGGAGCGTTCTTAATGTTTTTTGTCTTCGATAGTTTGGGACGAAGAATTCTTCTTATAACTCAGCCTTGTAATAGTTTTTTTTGTGTCATTCTCTCCAGTGTTTTTGTTTCGTTCTTTTTTGTTTTTTCATATTGTCAGACCTTCAAGCCCCTGTAAATTTCATTGAGCCAAGAAGGTTCGCATTGAGTAATTGTTGTTTCAGATTTATAAAGGGTTTAAAAGGCGTTGAAAATATCTACACACAACACGAACCATATCTCAAGGACATAGTTGAAAATACTGTCAAGGGACGATTGTCAGAGCAACAGTATCCGTACGTATCAGGAGATGTGACGGGGTTAGTTTCACAAACCCTTATTACTATTATTATTTCTGTGATTTTTTTTAAATTTTGTGTATATTGTGGAACTCCCATTCTCACAAAGTTCATTCTCTCCCCTCAACCAAGCCGTGGTGCTTCTGTTTGGGCTCCTCTCGATTGAATCGGAGGAGGAGTGATTGCACGAAAAATAAGTAGCTTCCAAAAAATAGGTATCTAGGCTGGACTGTCCTGAATTGTATGGGTTTGACTACCTGATATAAATGTTTCTCAAACGACTAGGGTAAGCTTCTTTGTATTGTGTGCCAAACAAGGTTCTTAGATGGAATCATTGTTTGGCTCCACGTTTGGACATTTCGTCTGAAGACGAGTTAATCGAAACGTAAAGCCAAGTAAGAAGTAAGAAAGATTCCATCCAAAAACATCGTTTGGTACACACTACAAAAGAGTCGGCAGAAAATGCCGAGATTTCACAGAGGGACAACATACGCATTGATGTTAACCTTTTGATATACCAACAACTCAGAATTGTACACTCGTTGGCCTCCACAAGTTATTGTATAGGCCAAATTAGATTCATTTGGTTCTGAATGCGAGTAGGATGCGTGGCGCTTCCCAACCGAACAGACTAATGCCAAAATATAATAGAAAGATCTGTCGCGTTGTCTGTTGTATTGTTATCCTTTTTGAATTTTTTTTTGAGAAAGAAATTAACTAAGAGCGATGGATACGAAACATTAAAGGAATCCTTCACGGAAAAATCATGATTCTATTTCAGCCATAAATCACTGGCTTGAGACTCATTATCCACGATAAGAATGAAAAGAACAGAAATATTGCTTTTGTTTTGGTAAAAAATTCGAAAAATCGAAAGGGCTGCTACGCGTTCAAAGTGCCCACGGACGTCTTTCACAAATGCTGGCGACGGGGATGCTTCCACTTGGTTCTTGGAGTGCCTTCACTAGAAACTCTTTCTGGCCTTCTGCTTATTGCATTCACATCTCACACTTCTACTCCATCCTATTCTATCGATCGATTTGTCTCTACTCTCCGAAATCGCGCGCTTTAACCCGATTCTTCATTGCGTCGTCTGATTCGTAGCGCCCCTATGCGGACTTATTCCATGCCCCGCCTTTGGCTCCGCCCGAATTACCTTCGATGTCCATAGAATGGATTTTCGTGAGTTTGTTCTCTTCGGAAACCGAACCTTCATGCGTAAAACTTTGTGTATTGCATCTAGTGATCACAACTGATATACATTTCATGTTAAGAAGAATGCAAGAATTCCGCGATACGATTCCTTTAAGGTGACCATTTGAAGGTCGTGGGACATCAATATTTTTCGAATATTTGCCCAATTCAAGTAGTTCATAAACGAGGCAGAAATATTTAGACAAAATACGAAGGTGGGACTTCTAGTATGTGATGGCAGAGTAAGGGTAGGGGTAAAAAGTCTAACTGTTGTCATAACTGCTTTTCGCTGGTTTTCACTAGTTCCCCTCTATTTCAAGTAGCTTTTGTAGCTCGCTGTTGTGTTTTTAGCGGTCGACAAGAAAACCTGATTGTATTCATTGTTGGCGGAGCCACCTTCGAAGAGGCGTTGTTCGTTCGATCCCAAAATGAGAAGCGAATGCAAGGAGGTGGTGGTCCATCAATCACTCTTGCTACGACATTCATGCACAATACAACGAGGTGTGTCGTTTGCTCTTCATTCATTCGTTACCTATCTTCTAATGAAATTCAGGGTGTACTTTCTTCATATTCTATTAGAGCTTCGTTTTGCAGTCACTCTTACTGTATTTTTCAGTTTTCATCGAGCAGTTTACCCAACCGCAGTGGGCACGGTAAAAAATTCTGATTGAGAAACACTGTGCAGTTCCCAAGAAGCTTATGAAATCCTCCATCCAGTGATTCAGAATCTGAGCTTCGTGTTTGTGTATGTTGTTTTCGCTGTATAGAAATTTATTTATTTCGAGATAGTACGATCTGTAATAAATGTATAAAGTAGTTCTTACTTCAGTCCGACTTGAATTTACCTTTTTCAGCTCCTTCTCTCCTAATTGCCCCTGACCTGATAGTCGCTTTGCATTCCTTTGGCGATAATAGGTAGGTAGCTGAGAACCTCTATAAATCCAATCAGAGTTGCTACTGAGTCGAGTGATTTGTCGGAGCAAATTACTGTAGTTGCAAAAACCGAAACTTCCTATGGTTCAGAGGTCAAGTTTTGGATCGAGTCCTGCCCATGCCAGCAGAGCTTTCCATCACTGCGATTCGTTTGATTCTTATCAGTTCCAAGGTAGAGTGAAAACACTAAGTCATATTCTTTTAAGGTTTGCCATTGAAGCCACAAGCCAAGATGATAATTCTAAACCACTTGTGGCTTCAAAAGCAAACCTTAAAAGAATACCACACACGATGCCATGATTTATTGATCGTCGATCCTGTGTATTAAGTCATATGTTTTTCGCTCTGCAAAAGGAC